AGACTTATCTTCAAATTCACTATTTTGGGCTTCTATTACTTCAAATCTACTCCTTTGCCCTTTTAATTAATTGTGTATTTTGAAATCTTAGTATTAATCTTCTGGATTTCTAATTGTAGGTTTTATATTGTTTCAAAATTTGCACTTAGTGTGTCTGTTTGCTCTTGTAGTTATTTTCCTGAATTCTTCTAAAGTTTTTATTGTGTTCTCCTTGCTTTCCTCAACTTTTTGTCAATTCTTTGAAGTTACCTAAATATCATTTTTTTAAAAAAAGTTCTTTTTCATTTAGTTCCATTACCTTTTTTCCCTCAGAAATGTTTTCTGGCTCTGCATCTTGGTCATTTATTTGAACTATTCTCTCTTGTTTCTTCCTGTGAGCTAAATTGTCTGCTGTCTCTGGGACATTGTGGTGTTAACATATTTGCATTTCATTGATGATTGTATGTATTCTTAGGCTCTCACTAATCATGACCTATTAGTGCAGTTAGAGAATGGAAGGGTGTACAATATACTCTATTAGACATTTATGTACTGCAGTTTAGGGTGGATTTGGCTGGTGTTGGCTGTTATTGTTGATCAGGTGGTATAGGATCTGGTCTTGGCTCTTGCCCAGTGGATAGATGGAAGAGGACGAAGTTGTGACTGGGCTGGATGCTCACAGTTGTTGTCTCCTCTCAGGTAGGAAAGAGGAACCCCCCCCCCCACACACACAGGAAAACAGAACAGAATAAACAAATAAGGAATCAACAATAAAAAGAAGAAAATAGTGAAGAAAAAGTAAAATGAAAACAGGCAGCAGCCAGAAAAAAATACAACTGAAAAGAGAAAAGAGGGACAGGGAAATACAGCTATAGAAGACAAAATGAAGAAATTAAAATAACAACAACAACAACAAACTTAGAAAAGCCAGGATGAAGGAAGATGAAAAGAGAAAGAGAGTAGAAAGTAGTAAAGAAAGATCAAAAGAAAGAAGAAGAAAAAATGAGGAGGGGGAATGAGAAACAAAAAAGGAGGAAAAACAAAAGTAGAGATATTGTTGTTGTTGTTGTCAGGTGCCATCAAGTCGGAACCAACTCATAGCGACCCCATGCACAGCAGAACAAAACAATATCTGATCCTGGGCCAAC